TTCATCCAGCCCTGCACCTTGTTGTCTCGGATTCTCCAGCATCTGCAGTTCCTACTATCTCTGATTTCTCTTTTATCACCAATCAGTTAAGTGGTGTAGGCTGTTCTTCATTTTAAAGTAGTTAGGAAAATTTATACCTAACAACGAAGCTGATGAAAGAAATATTAGTCTTTATATAGCAGCTTTTACAATCTCAAGACTTGCCAAAGTTCCCCACAGGCAATTAAGTATTTCTGAAGTGTAGTTACTGTTGTAATGTAGGAAGCAAGGTATCTAATTTGTACACAGCCGACTACCCCGAACAGTAATGTGACAAGGTCAAATACTTTGCTTTAGAGGTACTGGTAATGCAAATGAATTGCAAAAAAATTCAGCATTTTTTTCTACAGCGGTTATTTGACCTTCTATAAATGTGAAGGGTAACATGCAGTGTCAAAGTCCCAATACACTCCACCACTGAATAAGGAGACATCGACTCATCAGTAATTCTTCACACGAATGCAGTTACAACTGTGCTGTGGTTGGAATTTATCATGATGGACCACAGGCGCTTAAAAATAGGAAATAAAGGGGTAGCGCAGAGGAACTGTCAAACCAGCTGCTCTGTCTCTCACACCTCCAAGCATCCATTTTCAGAGAAGAACAGATGGAAGCGTGGGGGGGGCGGGGTTGGGCCTTCTCACTCTCTACTTGAGTAAGTAATGCATGTGATGAAAAGACGTCAAGTGAAGAGAAGTATATCCCAAAAGGCTGGGACTTTAAGCTTCGACTAATAGTGCTATGAACATGACTGCTGCAGTTAAGTTGCTCAGTTAGTCAGTCAGTCCATACTTTTTCATTTTCTTCCTTAGAAAGGTGACTCTCCACAAACATGATTCTGCAAAACCAAAGTCTTTTGCAAAGGGAACCCTATCAGACTTTTATCAAACCATTTTAGCAGTAACAATGTGATTACATAAAATCACAAAAAAGAAAATCAAGTTCACGCTTACAAAGATGCTCTGTGACATACTGCTGTTATTTGCATTTGCTTACCCTCCTGAATTCCAACACTGTAATCCATATTTCAGAAATACCATTGCTTACCGAGACAGCATCCCCAGTGGAGTGACATTCAATGAACCCATTAGCATCGCCAGTGCCATTCCAGGAGCCTCCCTTTCTATCACCTCCTTTGTGGCCTAGAATTATAATAAACGACATTTATAACTGATATCAAATTAAAGTCATAATTGTACAGAATCCCCTCAATATTTTGCAACTAGAGTTTGTGAGTCGCGACCTTAGAAACAGCTAATTAAGTTCTGGCAGGAAGGCTGCAATACTAAGTTGTTGCATTTAATGGAAGAAAACAAATGGCAAAATGTTATCTATTATGCAAAGTGAAAAATGTGCTCATCTCAAAAAGGCAAAATTCTGTAGATGGAAAGAATCTGAAACAGAAAAGGGGAGAAACACTCAGCAAATCAGGTAGCATCTGTGGAGAGAACGGACGAGGCAAAGCAGGAAGAGGTTGTCATGATAAGAAGTTAAAAAGCAACAGCAGTATTTGAAATCAGCATGCTTAAATGAATGCCAATCAATAAATGTATCAGTATAGCCAGTGCCAACGCAGGAGACTCCCTTTTTATCACCTCTTTTATGATCCTGCATTACAATGAATATAAATTTTAAAAATTAAACATTTGATAATGTTTAAATTAAAAATTAAAAATTTGATATCAGCTTGAGATTTTAGTTGTTTAAAATTTCATAATCCCTATCCATTGATAGTAGCTACCAACTCTAATAAAGTGTGTACACTTGAAATATTAGCTTGTCGCTCACTCTAAAGATGCAAGTAATAGCAGATATCTGATATCAAAAAGATGCACAAATTAAAAAAGCACGCACAGCCAAACAGCCCACAGAGTTTTGGGGCCGAATGTTTGCAGCGTTCCCTGAATTTGTTCAGCTCCCCTGTTTGTATGGCTTGAAAATACATTAAAGGGGCAGACCCGTCAGGAACAGAATGGCATAGTGGCTGAACGAACGACCTTCTAATTCTAGCTCAACTCTGGGTCCAAATCAATATCAAACAAATTCAGATCTTCCTGAACAATTTGGTGAGTCTCAAGTATTGGGTGTACCATTAGGTGCACAATGCAAAATTATCCTAGCCTGGATTGCATAGTTGTTGCATGAAAGAGAAATCTATAATTCAGATGCCTAAAGATTTGGTGTCTGGGTTCAGTGAGAATGTTCCATATCTAAACATGACCAAGAATGGAAATCACCAGTCTGAACACCTTGGTGAATGCCCAAAAAAAAAAGTGCATCCACACAGAGCAAAGTAATTAGTGTTTGTGGTAATGGAGGAAAATGGTTGTCGCATCCAGATACTACATAACTGTCAGGGTCACTGAGTTGCTAGCTGGAAGTGCTGTTCATTATTTACAGCAAACATTGCTTTTCATGAACATAGAAATTCAAAAGTAGATATGAAGCTTCAAATGCTAGCCTCAAGATTAAACTGAAGTGGAACTGCTTCTTCTCAAAGCAACTGATCTGCAATCATACTATATTTTTACCCTGTAATCTAAGAAGTAGAGGTAGAGAAGATACATATACAGCATGAGGGAATCCAAAACTAGGAGCCATAAATATAAGGTAGTTAATAATAAATTCAATTAAAAATTGAGGAGAAATTGTTGACTCAGTGGTGAGAATGGGGAACTTGCTAACGCATGGAGACATTGAGGCAATAGTTGTATTTAAGGGTAAGGTAATAAGGAGAAAGGAACAGAAAGTTGTATTTCTATGCTGTGATGAAGAAAGGTGATTGGAGGTTCAGAAGAAACATAAACAGTGCTGGGCTTAATGTCTTGTTTCTGCACTAAAACATCCTATGAAACAAAATTGGAATCAAACAGATTGTACAGTTAGATTATAAAATGGATCCTTATTATGGGTCAAAACAATAAATTTTAAGGTGATATTGTTTTGCCATGACATGGTTTAAAAAATTAATCTTTGATCCATAACTTTTACAGTTGAGTGCTCATTTGACAGCATGCACTTATTCACAATCTAAAGAGGAGATCTGAAAGTCGGTTGAAGGCTACAATTGCAGACAGAAGACTCAAAATTAAAATGAACCATTAAGTGAAAGCCCATGCTGGCCCTGAAGCTAAACATCACTCAAAGACAGCTTCAAAGGGGGTGAAAAAGATCAGATTTTAAAAGAAAAGAAACAGTCAAAATGTAAACACATCACCACGTGCAATATTATGCTTTTGTTACAAATTTAAACTATTTTGCTCTTACTCTAAAGGAAATAAATGCAATGTTCTTAAAGGGACTCAAATAAAAAAAAGGTCCTCTGCAAAATGGGGTGTGGAAGCTGCAGTGAGCTGATGCATCAAAAGGAATTTTGCTATTTATATGATTTTGTTTTAAAAAAAAAACTGCACTCTTTTCCCAAATATTTGTAAATTGTACCTGTAAAAGCTGAACCTTTGTTTGCAAATACAGGGCAAGGTGTTCTCTTCCTGGTTTTGTAACTGTGCTGGTTGTCTAGTTCATTTGAGAGGAACGAAATTAGTAAGTTTGGCTGTTCTTGCAGGTCATAAACAGTGTGAATTTGACAAGTTATTTAAAATTGTTAATTAAGAAAAAGAAGCAAATATGTTCTGGAGTTCAGGAAACTAATATACAGAGACCTTTGCTTTGGCAAATCCTACTTATGATTTCTATCATACAATGACAAAATTGCAAGCTGCATGCATCAATGTGCTAATTCTTTTTTGACCCATGGCATGGTAATGCATACAGTCTCCAGTTACTTTGTGCCTGATGAGTTCCAAATCTGACATGCCATTCAATCAAGGGGATTCAAGAGATAAAGCAGGTGAAAATTTTAAAATAATGAAGACTTGATTTATACTCTGTTGCTCTTATCCACAGTTTGTGCTGGTTCAGGAAGGGTGCTTGCAATGATATGCGTGATAAAACAAAAGTGAAGTAGACTAAAGGAAGCAAAAAAACTAATAGTTAGTTAAGGTGTGTTTTGTGTGACACACACAATGCACTTCAACTTCAAAGGTGCAGATTTCACCATAAATAAAATTCTCAATCTTACTCAATGTTTTGAAATGCTTGCAAAATCCTGGAACTTGATCTTTTTTGCTGGTTGCACAATTTAATGATGTATCAATCTTCTTCATTTTGTATTTATGCTTATCCTTTCCCGTCTGTCAGCTGACCATTCAAGCTGCTACATTTCCCACACATTTCATGCACCACCACAACACCCCCCCCGATTCCTCAACAAATATCTGACCATTCAGCTATATTTTGCTGGGGGGTGGGGGGTGGAGAGGGGGTGGTTTAGGGGTCAGAAACCTGGAATAATTGATTTCCCACATATTCTGCCAAATTTAATGACTGGTCCTGAGTATAATCGGCGTCTCTCTCTGTCTCCAGCAAACAGTCAGATTGAGAGTCTGGCTGGCTGCAGGCTTGGTAGGCCTGTGATGCCAGGCTGCAGCCTGGAAGTAGAGAGGGAGCTGCTGAAGACTGGGGAGGAAGATTGGGGTCTGGAGTCTGAGAAGATCTGGGAGGATAGGGATGGGGGTGGGGGGGGAGGGGGGGGGAAAAGATGCTGGTGCTGGTGGCGACCCAGAAGATTGGAATCTGAGGGAGGCGGGTAGCTAGGAAGATCACAGTCTGCAGGGAAGATTGGAGGGGGCAAAACAGGAATTTGGGATTTGAGGGAACCTCATTCTCAGCGTATAGAGCCAGGCAAAGTGAAAAGGCCATGCTTCAGGGTCACACTAAAGCATCAACCCAACTGCTATATGATTAGACTATAAATATAGTCTGAAGGTGAAAGACTGGAATTCAACACAGGTTCTTTTGGAGGTCGGAGGTAACCAATTTGGGTCACTCAAATGGATATAGGTGCCAAGGGAATCAGAGATCGAGAATTTGTTTCCAACTTGTAATCAAGCAGCTGGCAGAAGCAACTGATGGTACTGCACTTTTTGTATTTGAGGTCACTAATTCCAAATTGGCCAGTATTGGCAACAATCTAACAGAAATGGTCAATTTTCAGCTGAAGTAACCATACCATCAGCATTGCATAGATCTGTGTCGAGTGCCACTGATGTGAAATTTAATCCATAGCCTGCCATCATTCATAATATTTCTGTCGCTAACTGTATCGAGGAGTTCCAGGCATTTAAAGTAGACTTAATGAACATTTGACTTAGTGCAATGTGCAACCAGCAATTAGTTAATAACAAAAATATAATTAGTCATGTCACTGAATAATTATTTAAACATTTGTTGACATTTTGCTGGTTTATCAAAGTTGTCCAGCAGAATCTCTGAGGATTCAATGTTGACAACTGATGGCCTTCTGAGACCAAGAGGAACTTCATATCAGTCCAGTAAAATTCTTTTCTCTGCCTGATTTAAAGCCAGAATTGTGTTTTATTTATTTTATTGTCTCAATTCCTAACTAATTCTGAGTTAATATAAAAGCTTTTGAATGTTGCCAATGCTTCAGAAACAAGCAATGCCATCAATTAAGTATTTTGCTAAGCAGGTTACATTCCTGGTGTAAACATACAATAATGGTCATTCAAAAAAAGAAAGGCAGATTGTCAGTGTAATAAGTCAGAATCATATAACACAGTACAGGCGAAGGTTATATGGGTCATCGTGCCTACGTTGTCTCTTGTAAATAGCTATGCAAATGCTTGGCAAATATTTCCATTGAAGCGTTTATCTAATTCTCTTTCAAAAATTACTGTTGAATCTGGTTCCACAACCTTTTCAGGCAGGGGATTTAAGATCATGGCAATCCTCTGCATCAAAAACAATCTTATCATCTCACTCCCAGTTCCTTTGCCAAATACATTCAATTGATATCGTCTGCTACTGGATGCGGCTACTCCTTATTTTCTTTGCCAAAGTCCTTCATGATTTGAAGTTGTTTCTATTTAACCTTCCCTGTTCTGAGAAGAAAAATTCCTAGCTTTACTAATCCCTTCATATAACTGTGGCTCCACATCTCTGGTACCACTCTGGGGAATCTTGTCTGTTCTCTCTCAAAGAATTTGACATCCTTCCTGAAGCATGGTAAAGATACAAGGATTAGGTGAGTTTGGACAAATCCAATTGCACCCCTCAAATA